CCAGCCAGCTTATGCACCAAGGTCGAAGCTTATCGAAGCTTACATTCTCTGTACCTCTTTGGAGCTATGCACGTGGGAATGGTACTTTCATGTGTTTTTCTTCCTGGAAGACTGGTTTTTTCTTTTTTTCTTTTTTTGTTCTAGATTGCATGAGGGAAGAACACCTGGAACTTTGATTGACACCACTGGAGTCTAGAGCAGTGGCAAGACATTCTCTTGTGACTACTCTCGTCAGGCTGCTGCTTTACCAGTGGCTAAAGTTAACAAGAGCATCGATCTCTAGACATGGTTGCGAGTTCCTCCTTTTGAGATCGGGCTGGCATAACTAGAAGGCAATGTTCCTTTGCACGAAATCTTGCATGTAACGGAGCAGTTTTAATTCATTTTCCATACAAATAATCAGATAAATGCCAAGGGCATTTAGCAAGAAGAAGAGTGAAAAGAACGAAAGATTGACACCACTGGATTCAGCACTTAGGCTGTCAAAAGACGGGGGCTATGCAGCACACAAGCCTTGTCCTTTGGAGAATCAAGCTATGAAGTCTCTTCTCTATAAAACTCTCCAAAAACACTAAAAGAATTCTGGTGGTTATCCCATAGAAGTGTTTCCCTTTGAAACTCTAGAATCAAAGTTAGTGAACTGTGATAGTTCTAGCAGTTTCTCCTCAATGCAAACATGGCCATGATGATCTCTCTGAGCAGCATTTTTAAAATTGTCACTGCATCAATGATGGAACAACTACTCTGTTGTGTCTCTGCCAACTGCTGAGTTGTTGTTGAGTGTCCCTTAAACTTCCAACTCCAAGCTTGCAAAACCTTAACACTCTCGAAAAAATAACATACTCTATCCTTTGTTGGCTAGTAAAGAACTAAAACTTGATCTCATTCAATCTTGTGGTAAACAAAATAAAATAATTAATATATTTTGTTATTCTAGATTAAAGACATATTACATAATTAATAATAATAAATAAATAAGAAAACTAAATGTCATTGTTAGTGTAACAAATTATTTTTACTTGAAGTTATAAGTAATCAATATTTGTGACTACAAAAGTTAATATATAAAATTTTTTTATAACTATGCAACAATGATACACAAAAGTGATAAAATAAATAACTTAAAACCACTTCAAAACTACTTTCTTAACTAGTTATGTGTTTTTAAAATAAAACTAGCTGCAAAATTTTTATTTTTTACTGAAAAGTAGTTAATTTTCATAAATATAATTTATTTTATTTTATATAAATGGTCTTCTTTATATACTACCACGCGGTTTTGCCAGACTACCCACCACATGGCATGCATGCACGTTGCTAAATAATAAATTTTGATTGTCATCCAAAATTTAAAAAATGCAAGCATGAAATGACAAAGTAAAATTTTTTTCTTTCAAATTTATATGTAATAAATCTATTTTGCTAAACAAAATCTTTAATCTTATGGGAAAGATATTGAAAAGAACAAGTAAAACATCTGAATAGTGATTTTGAAAAATTAAAAAGAAGATCAATTAATAATTTTACTTTGAGTTTTGCTTCTTTTTATAGTAATAAAATGAGAGTGTTGTAAATTATATTATTTAGTTAAAGTATCATTAGAACATTCTTTGTTCAACATTTTACAAAAGTTTAAAAAACCATTAATATTTATATTTATTCAACATTTCAAGCTAATAATTCAGCATATGGTTGCCAAGTGGCATTATATTGAATATACTAGCAATTTATAACATTCTATAATGGAAGTGTACTTTTTAACAATAGTCATTTATACATCAATTGACTAGGTCTACACAACATTTTAAGTGTCTTGTAAAAATTGTCATTTCCATTAATTGTAATAACTTATCTACTCAACATAGTAATTGTTTCTCATTGTTATATTTAAATTCTAGTAACATCTTTAAAGAAGTATATCACCAACTTTGGAGGCTAAATAGAAATTTATTATAATAAATAATTGAGATATAGCACATTTTCATTTTATAGTGAATTCTCTTTAAGTCTTCTTTTCTTTGTTTTTTTGTTATCTTTAGTTTTTCTTCTTTTATATTTCTTCTTTCTTTTATAGGTTGTATAGCTTTGCTTGAGTAAATATTTAACTAAGTTTTTAGTCTTAAAAATTATATTTTACCTTAATTAAAGTTTTCTCTCATATCATTTTGTTTGCCACCAATTTCTAAAAAAATCTCCATCATATTTTTGCTATTTACAAAAAGTTGCAAAGATCCTTTGACACAACAATTTTATAAGCCATTCTTCTTTACTCCACTTTCACTTCTCATCACATTTATCTTTTTAATCACTTTTTGTACTTCACTTTATTTTTGAGTAAGTTTTTGTTTGATGCAAGACAATTTTTGGGATATGTAAAAGCTTTGGAGTTGATCATTTCACTTTCAACTTTTAAACTTTTTATTCTCTTTCTGTCTTCTCTTTTTCTCTTCTCTTTCCCTTTTTTAATTTTCCCATTAAATTTCCCTTTATTTTCCATTTTTTTTTCTTTCTCTTTATGCATCTAGTTATTCCCATGAGATCGATCCATATATCTCTTCACTTTTATACAAAGAAGGATGGATATTAAATAGATGTGTCTTACTCTTTTTGGCAGAATTACCATCCTCAAGCAGTCTTTTCTTATAAACTTAGATGACATTAATATGATTCTTATCATATTGTATATATTAAATTTCAAGTGTAGCCCTTGATATGTGAAGCTAAATTATATTTTTGAAAAGTATTTTATGCAATAAAGAAAATAAACTCTATTTGATGTATATGAAAGAAAGATTTTGAAACACTACTGAAATAAGCACTAAGAAATTCGAAGGCATGTTTCTAGCTAGGTTATCTAACCATGAAAGCTTAGCATTTCTTGTTAAAAAGAAAGGAGGATCAATGCAGATCATTAAAAAAAGAAGGTTATAAAAATATGCTTATAAAAAACTAAGAAATATTAGAAGCATAGTACTAACTTATTAATTGTTAATTATAAAAAATATTTTTTAAAATTTTATTCTTATCAATTTCATGTGTGCAATCCAAAAAAAAATCCATCAAAAACCAATAACAAAATGTGTCAGATTCCCGAAGGGTTTCACTCTTAGGTGTTTTGGAAAACATGTATAACACCAAATTACAGTCATTTTCTAAAGAAAGATATGTGTTTGTTAAACAATTTAAATGAGGCCTACAATATTTATTAGGTGACCAGACTACTACCTTATATTCATTATATATACTAAATTTCCATCATATTGAAGTTTAAGATAGCAATTTTTGTAATTTTTTTTGATTGACCATTTATCTATATTTCCCACATAAAGCGCTAACCTACAATTATAATGTCAATAAAGATACGTTTTTTTTATTTGGAGAAGTTATGAAATTCATGGGTATGAGAATATCAAAAACTGTAGAACCAATTAAAGTATAGAGATAAATCTGACAATCATTAAAACTATATGTATTTATTCTTGATCTATATCCTCTAGATCTTTCATTTGGAGGTATATTTCGAATAAAATAATAAATACCATACATCTCTATGTTAATCTAGAACCAAGATCTATAAGATTGGGTTGATAATCCATTAGTATACTAGCTAATTCTACTCTAATTCTTTCAGTGCTTTGAACTTGTCCTAAATTTGGTGAGCATATAAAACTACTTACCAGGACTAAATATCCAAATTTGTGTATATTCTGGATTATAAATAGCTATATCATTTCTTATACCTTGTCCCGATGGTATTCCAGAATTACGTGGAATTCGATTGACCATCAAGAGTAAGTGTGAGATAATGTTATTTGTAGTATTTGCTCCTACAAGATTCAAATCCTGTTCTCCGGAGTGAAGTTCATCAGCCTCAAGAAAATTGTTGAGAAGCAAAATAAATAAAATAATTACAAACACCATTAATCTTTATTTTGTAGACAACTTCCAAATATTTTTAATTGGCTAAAATTTAAATGAAGAGAATTGTTCTCTTAATCTACGCAAGCCTAGTGCCTATTCCAGTATTCCTAGAAACTACTATTGCTAGAAACATACAGCTTTAGAGTGAGCAAGAAGCCTTCTCTCGTGCCTCCTTGAGGCTCTCGGATCCTTGTCCACAGCCTTCTGCAGCCAGACACACGCCTCCTTGTACTCCCCCAGGCCCATCAGCCCGCGGCCCTTGCGATACAAGCTCTTGACGTGCTCCACGTCGATCACCAGCGCAGCATCCGCGTCAGCCACAGCCTTGCCAAACTCCGCCATCCTCAGGTACACCTCAGCGCGGTTGGACAGCGAAAGCAGCAGCACCTCAAGGACGCTCGCCACCCGGGTATTCGACGTCAGCATGTCGAGGCAGCCGTTGATACACGCCGTGTAGCAATCCACGGCGTCGGCGTAGGCCTTGGAGTTCCCCTACAGCCGGAACGCCACCGCCATGGACACGTCATTGACTCGTACGATGAGGTCCGGGTTGTCCACGCGGATGCAAATGGAGCCGTCCATGGCGGTCTTGAAGTAAGGGTCCTTGATCGCCACCTTTGTGCCGCTTGGGTAGTGACACTCCAAGGAGAGCCTCGCATGGCCGGCTTGATCCTCCAGAACCGTGATCACGGAGGTGGCGCGGAATGGCTCACCGATGAGGGTGGCGAAGAGGACGCGGTTGCAGTGGACGCGCTCGAGCTGGAGATCCTGGAGCAACTTGGAGAGTGCCAGGAACTCGGGATCGCCCAGGGAGGCGGCGTGGGGATTGGACTCACCGCGGAAGTTGAGCGACGTCTTGTACAGCCCGGTGTTGTCGAACATCCGCTTCCGGGCCACGCCAGCGTTGTGGCGGCGCAGGACATCGGGCTTGGAGAAGTGTGGCAGCGGCAGTGGCTGGGGCGGCGACGCCACCCTCACGCCGCTCAGCCGCTTCACCAGATCCTCCATGCTCGGCGAGTGAGAAGCGCTACCGCCACCATTCTCACCACACCTCTGCCTGCTAACAACGGAGAACCCTAGAAAAAATGCGAGAATATTCAATATCTTTGAAAATATATTGATATGGACAATCTTATTTGGCGTGGAGCTTCTTAAGCAGCATCATCTTCAGCTTGGAGGCACTCGGCTTGGAATCACTAGAGACAACAGTAATTGTGAAGTAGTTTTAAAGAATGCAGTAAGAAACTTACTGGAGCTTTTGCTTTTTACCAACAAGAGTAACAGCTTGAGCTCGAGCTTTCACTTCGGCCGCTTTGGCAGCAGGGAATTTCTGGCCATCTCCATTTCCACTCCGAGCTAGAGCAAACTTCCCCTGTAAAGAAAGAGACGTTTTTTTCTTTTTAAGAAGAAGAAAAACTCGGATCATTTTACCTGTCTCAAGGCCGACGATCGACAAGCCACCGATTTCTGGAGCACCAATCTTGCGGCAGATTTGCTCAACAATCCTCTCTTTCTGCTCTTGTTCTATAGAATGTACTGTCCTTAGGATTAAAAAAAAAAAAACTATAGAGAACAACTTAACTGGAACTCGCGGCTTGGATGAAGACAGGCGAAACAAGTCATCTGTAAAAAGGCCGATCGACACGGCGCCCAAGAAAAACCAATACAAGATCATACCCATCAACGCGTCTCTATCCCAAGAACCGATCGAAAATTTGAGCTCCGCAACCGCATCCATCTCCCCAAACATCGCAAACCCTAATTGTTTTCTTTTATCCTTGTTTTTCCTTTGTTCGGTACAAAGGGAGCTGCTTCTAGAATGCAGGAGCTTAGCGCTCTAATCGGGGGGAATTAATTAGCTTATCTGGGCGGTGCTACGCACAAGACGACATGGATAACTCGACAAAGAACGTATTTCAAAGTTGCGACACACCGTTTCTTCTTCCATGCATACGGCATACGCCATGTTCTCACCCTCATTTTTTTTTCCTTGAACGATTCTTCTACCTTTGGTGGCATGACATGACATAGGAATCAATCAACACTTGCCTGTGAAGAACTATATTAAAATCCCATTTTCTCGTGAAATTCATATGGGCGTGTATACAAGTATTCTATGCAAAAGGAGCTAGAGAAGTTGAAGACATAGGTGCAAATCTCATGGAGGCAAATTGACCTTGCCACCCTCCCCACTTGCAACTTTGATAATGCACAACGAACAATCGTACCAAACCACTAACAAGGATTAAAAAATGGGTGTTGTGATTGAATTTGCGGACCTCGCTTTCAAAATATGGTATTTAAATTGTGGGTGATGTGTATGGAGCAACGATTATGGGAGACAAGAGAAGCAACGTAACCTAAAGAACAAACAAGTGCTTATTGTGATGGCCAAATTCTCCTCCACTAGTGCCAATAATTCCTCCTCCTCAGTAAAATAGAAAAGGAGAAGCTGGATTCACGTAATTTATAAGGTTGATACTATCTTAGACCGTAAGTGTAAGTCTCAAATTCCCACTATGAAGCTTTCCAATTTATAATATTTAATAATTATAAAACTTTTTCCTCTGTGGAGCGGCTTGGAAAACTACCTCGGATGGTTTACTGCGGTGGAGCTTCTAGAATCAACAGCGGCAGGGTGAAAAAGAGAAGAAATATTTGTTTGAAACAAATATAAGATATTCGTCGCACATTGACTTGGGAAGCATATGGGCCTTCGAAAGCTTCAATGTGTGAAAGAGAGATGTGCTTGTCCTTGCATATCGAAAATAAAAAAAATACATATAAAAAACTCGTGGTTGATTTGATCAGATCAATCAATCAGTCCCACACACAAAGAAATCAAATCACTTTGATTTCGTCTTTTGGTTACTTGCCATATCATATTGAAGAACACAAGGAAAAGAGAACTAAAGGTCTGATCGTACGTTGGTTCATATTCAGATTTCTGTTAATAGTACATGATTTTTAAAATCGTTAGTAAAAAAGTAGCGAGAGTAATACTGCTGCGAGCTAGAATCTCTAAGAAATTAGCTGTGATCGATTTAAAATTCACCTCCTTCGGTGGTCGTTTGATAAGTTTAGATTAAGATATTTAAAACTGACAGGAAAGTTTTTGAGACGAGTGAATTCGGTAATGTATTTCCATATGTGTGTTTGCGGGAGCGAATCCACATCCCCACTAAGTGTTGTGGTGTTGGTGCATTGTATGATCTGACCATTTAGAAATAATAAAATATTATTAAGAATAACTCAGAGCCAGTGCTTTGCTTCACTCGAAAAAACCTGGGCTTGTTTCCTCCCCACCCAAAGGAGAGGCGAACGAGTCGAGGCAGTCACAATTATTTCCACATCGCAACCCACGAGACTTGGAATTCAGTGTAAGCACTGCTGACATTGAACAATACGAGGTTGCTTGACTACTGTTTGACCAGTTTGACTTTTGCTTGACCCGTTTGTTTCTACAGCGGTCAAGGGTCGGTTATGCACTGTTTAGTCAGATCAGCTTTGAGGAAAAAAAAGAGAATAAAGTGGAAGAAGAACGAAAAAAGGAGTGGTCAAAGTCAATTATCTCCCGCCGCGCTTATATATGCTTATGGACAGCGTCTGACCAAGACAATGACCCAAAGCTCGGGGGTGGACTACACGAGAAGTATATATGGTACCGATCAAGCAATGAAGCCCAAACGAAGCAAATCTGAAAGACCTTTGCGGGCACTGTGCAAAATCTCTACAATGGCCAACCGAAAGACACTTTTGTCTTAGTTTTATTGAATTTTCGAGACGAACTTTGAGGTTTAGTGTTTATAGGGCCCAGCAAAATTGAATTCTCAGAATCTGAATACAACCGCCATGAATTTACCAAAATACTAATATTACATGTTTTTGGGTTTTACGGCACCCATCTTGAAGCATAAGACCATTGAACTGAAATGTACAATAGGTGTGAAAAAATTTGGCTGCGTTGCGGAGGACAGGGACACGGCTACCTGACGGATCCGATTCTCAAGCTGCTTTTTCCCTCAGGCTCTTCCGGAGAAGTTTCGTCTTTGATTCAACGTACAGTGTACACAAGATTGTACGCACAATACGCCCACTACGCAACGTAACACTAAGAACAACGACCTTAAACATCGTTTTCTTTCTTATAAAATAAATATAATTTTTTTCTCATCTACTCGTCTACAGTCCATATTGGAGGCCATCTTTCTATTTGTGTTAGCAAAAGCGTCCACCAGCAAAGAAGTGCTTCAAAGCCAGCACAGCTAAACAACAAAAGCAGCCAACCCCGCGAAAAACACTAAAACACTTTAATAAAAGCCTGGAGACCCATTGTTTTACAAGGGGGGATAAAAAAAAAAACTTTAAGGATGAATTCAACTTACAAGAGGCTTTGTAGCTTCAAAGATCCAAATGGGGTCACTCTTTTTGTGCTTATGACTCGTGCTAGATATACTAGCAACCAAGTCCGAGAATCAAAGGAGATTTGATGCTACACGGTAATTGCAGCACAGAGTCGTGTGCTTGCCTGCCATTGTCCGGTGAATTGGGGCCCGGCATTCTCCTCTTTTCCTCTCCTCACTTGCAAACAAGCATCATTGTTTCGTCACCCCTCCTCCACATATATTTCAAGTTTAATCGCCGTATCTTTCTCTCCAAATTCGAAGAGGAGAGCTCATTCAAGCTTTTGTGTGGGTGTGTGTGTCGTGTGTGTTTGTGTGACCCTACCACCATCGCCCAGGAAACTCTAAGAAAATGCTTGAAAGATTCACATATCATAAGGGGAGGTTTAAACTTCGCAATATAAACATACACTTAGATGGAGCCAAGCTAGTCTAGGCAGCTACGAAACGATGGGGTTTGTTTATACAAGACTCAAAACACTGGGACCCCTTTGCCCCCCCGGAGAAACCATTTTGTTTAGTGGATCCATCCATCCATCCCTTCCCGCCATCTCCATCCAAGGAACTAAAAGATTTATCTTTAGACAAGGAAGAAGAATTGTTGCTATCCTATCGAGTAAGGTGGCAATTACAAAAGGAAAAATGGAAGAAAAGAAAAAGGGGAGAATACGATACAAAAGGTGACGAAGACGAAGAGGCCGAAGAAGCATTTTTAAAATTCCTAATGTTTAAATTCTATTAATTTATATGTATACAATTTTTTTGGACATTGAGGAAGAAGGGAGGGTGGTGCTCATGGGTCACGTCAATTTTTGAGCACGACTATGGGTCCACCCTGTCTGATTCCTCTTTGTCCATCTCATCTCAAGAGTGGCCCAGCTAAAGGAAAAAAAAAAAAAGGTGGCTTAATCGCGGATTAAGCCGGGCGATTAAGCGAGAGAGCATCTTGGAAGGAATTTGGACTATATAGTGCGGGGCGGGCGTCCACGTTTTTCATTCCGGCTAAAGACACAGAATGCAACGCGGTGCGAGAAGCGTACACCATTTCTCTCTCTTTTTCTTTGCTCGGAGCATCTCTCAGCGCTTTGGCGTTTTACTTGACCAAACAGGAGCTCACGGATTCTACTAGTGACTTCTCACAAACGTACACGTATACATTGCACCGAAAAAAAGACAATTAAAAGCGAAGATAGAATTCAAGCGCTTACCTTTCGATCGATCTTACTTTGGTCTTAAATTCCGAGTGTGGTGAGCTCTTCTTCGGTTGCAAGCGTGTGTCACCGCTGTGACAAGATCGAGAGATCAAATTTCGAGAGAGCTACTGTAGAGAGCTACAGTACCTTGTTTGTGTCGACACCGGATAGACATATATAGAGGCCGGCCCGAGAGGCTGATCAACAGTGGTGCCAAATATTTGGAGTGATACGCTTGCTTGCCAATGCCGGCCCCCCATATACCCGTCCATGTCCGCTTGGATCTGGCAATCATTCATGAACAGTGAGTAGCTATATAGCGAAGTCGCAAAACGAAACGCAACTGGAAGCACCTCGAAGCAGCAAGCAAGTAAGCAAAGCAAAGAGAATTTAAAGAGAAAGGAAGGAGCGAAAAAAAAAAAAAAAGAAGAAAAAGAGAGAGAGAGAGAGAGAACTTACCAGTCTGTTGGCCTCCAGTTGGTACTGTATCTCCTGCACAGGGGAATTTTTCTTCGCGTCCGGTCACTATAGCGTCGTCACGACTTTGATCGGTAGAAAGCGGCATGTAGACGCTTCCCTCCTGGATTTTTCTGCGAGCTCGAAAATACCCCCCGCGGCTCAAATCAATCAATCCCCTTCCTCACTACTGTAGCTCCTCACTCGAATGTACTCCAGTGGCGAGAGTCGAGCCAGAAATCTGCTTGCACGGGAGTGTGTACACAGCACTTCTCTTTCCTCCTGAGTGGTGGTAGATCTCCAAGTTTCTCTTTTCCCCCTCCTTCTCTTCCTTGAGTCGTCCAATTCTTTTTCGTTCGTGTCAGTTCAGGTGTGCGTTCTGAGAGCAACCAGCCAGCCTCCAAGTGTCTCGCACTGTTCCCTTTCCTGTTCAATAGCCTCCTTTCCTTCAAAATTTTTCCCCCTTTCTCCTGTGTGCTGTGTGTGAGTATATATATACTCGGCCTGCTCCTTAGCTCACGGAAGCTCTCGTCCTCAATTAAGTACCACTGTCATTTTTCCTCCTCATCCTTCTCTGCCTGCTGCTTCTCGCTTTTAATTTTCTTTTTTCTGTTCCTCCAGGACTGTGGTCCTGTGCCATGGCGGCTGCTGCTGCTGCTGCTTGCTTCTCCTGTTTAGATCTCCTCCAAGAGCTCCTCATTGGCTGACAGTGCTCCCAGGTTTCACTGCTCTGGCTTCTTAACAACTGATCTCCCGGCTTCCCCTTTGCTCGTTGTCCATCCTCGAACGCATCATTGGTTTGTTGGCTTGCGCGCAGCTTTTCATCTCATCTCGGTATACAGGATCGCGGATTCGAAACAGTTTGGTTGCAGTCGCGCCTCGAGCACACTAACTTTGTGTGCCAGGATCCACTCCAACACCACCGTCTGTCTGTGGCTGTCTTGTCTGTGCGGCTGCAGTCTAGCGGTAGCTTGCGAAGCAAGAAACGTGGACAAAGAGAGAATTGGTCTTGCAGCTTTGGTACTTGTCGATCGGCAATGAGCGGTCTAATCCCTATTCACGGAGGAGACGCGTCGCCTATCGCTGGAAGTGGCAGCAGTAGAGCTTCCCCATCGTCTGGAGATGGAGGAGCCGGCGGCGGAGCAGCAGCAGCAGCAGGAGCTGGGGAGGGGTCGGCAACAGCACCACCATCCAGGTATGAAGCTCAGAAGCGGCGGGACTGGAACACCTTCGGCCAGTATCTGAGGAACCACAGGCCCCCTCTCACTCTCCCTCGCTGCAGTGGAGCAAACGTCCTCGAGTTCCTGCGCTACCTGGACCAGTTTGGCAAGACCAAGATCCACGCGCCGGCCTGTCCCTTCTTTGGCATCGCCCATCCACCAGCGCCTTGCGCCTGCCCGCTGCGTCAAGCCTGGGGAAGCCTGGACGCTCTTATCGGCCGGCTCCGAGCAGCATTCGAGGAGCACGGTGGCAAGCCGGAATCCAATCCGTTTGGAGCTCGCGCCGTCCGCCTCTACCTGCGAGAAGTTCGTGAGATGCAGGCCAAAGCTCGCGGCATCGCTTACGAGAAGAAGAAGCGCAAGCGTCCGTCGAGCAACAACACCGGGGCTGCAAACGCCGGCACCAGCAGCACCAGCAACAACAGCAGCAGCAGCATCACCAACAACAGCTCCGGCAGCAGCTCCACTCCCACCTCGGCATCGCCCACCGCGCATCATGCTCACGCTGTTCACGCTCAAGTCCAAGCCCAGGCTCACGCTCACGCTCACGCGCAAGCTCAAGCCCACGCCCAGCAACAGGCCGTCCACAACCTCCACCAGCAGCACCACGTCCTTCAGCAGTCCCTGCCTCTCATCCAGCACCAGCAGCTCCAACACCATCACCCTCAGCAGCAATTCCTTCCTCAGGGACTTCAGCCTGGTGCCAACTGCTTGCAGATCCACAACTGAGAAGAGGAAGAGGTGAGCACATCACTTTCCTTTCAATCTTTCTTCCTTTTCCTGCAAAAGAACACCACTTATCTTAGCTCAGCGATTCGTGAAAGTCAGTGACTTACTTGTTCATCTCTTGCACAGATAGCTGGCTTTTCTCGTGATTGTCCAATACATTCGATTCCGGATTATCTCGAGAAAGATCACTCTGCCAGTACGAGTTCCTGCACTTCCAGAAGCAGCACCTGCACCAGCAGCGCTACGAGATGTGCAGGAGGTACACAATATACATATACATAACTACGCATGGTCAGTCTCGTAAAGTTCCTTCCAGTGTGAGTTCTTTCCGCTCCGATCTCTAGCTAGATGCTGTAATTAGCTTCAAAGAGGATGAAGACTTGTACTGCAAGTTCGTCCGAGTTTGATAGCTAGTAAATTTTCAATCACTCTTTTGAAATTCCTGCAAAAAATGATCCCGTTGGATGCAAAGTTTCGAGCTGGTTGCAAATGAAGAAAGGATACCTGTGCCGCGCGAAGGCTAGAAATTGCTGGCAGCAGGATCACAAAAAAAGAAAAAGGACAAAAAAAGAAGAAGATAAAAGATAAAAAGGATTATGCATTACTAGCATGAGGAGAAGAACCTGAGCGTATGATTATCATATATTGCGCTGCAGCATTGTCTCCTCGAGTACAGGTGATTATAATCCAGCCAGGAGGCAGCCTGTTTCTCATCCAGCACACGTTAGTTTTACAACAACACGACGACGCTAGATCTGCTCTGACACAAGTCCTGAGCCAGCCAGCGAGTGAGAGAGAGATCTCTTTTCAGGAGAGAAAGGGAAGTCCCATTTCTTTTTAAGTTCCAGCAACTGCACAGCGCGAGGGTGGCAGCAGCGTGTGTTATTTACAGGAAGAGCCGACGCCGCTTTCTTCCAGCTTTTCATCATCTACAGCTCCTGAGCTAGCAAAAGGGAAGAAAAACGAGAGTAGTAGTACACAGGCAATGCGACAGGCGTACCTGTCTAACCATAGCAGCGGATAGGATCGTTGCAGCCCTTTTCAGCTGACTGCCTGAAGCCAGATCTGCCACCCTTGGCCAAGTATTGCTGGTGGTACTCTTCGGCGCGATAAAACTTTGTAGCTGGCAAGATTTCCGTCACGATCTTCCTCTTGATCTTTTCCTCGTGCTTTTGCATGGACTCTCGAGCGGCTTTCTCCTGTTCCGGGTGGTAGAAGTAGATTCCCGACCTGTACTGGGTGCCAACATCGTTCCCCTGGAAGATGTCAAACCAACCAACCTTAAGCTTTTAGCTACAAAAGAGATATCTACAAGAGAAATAGGAACAGCTACGCAGCAGCATACTACTTGCAAAGAACAAGGACATATTTTAAAGGCTAGAAAAGAAGCAGAACAAGAACAAGGAGGAAAAGGCTAGAGGGATAGAACAAAGCTAGCAAAATTCTTCTGCAAGGAATATAATAATCTGGAAGAGAGCTCTTACCTGACGATTCAAAGTGGTCGGATCGTGGCGGTCCCAGAAAACATCCAGCAGCGAGGAGAAGCTCGTCTCCTTTGGATTGTATTGCACTCTCACCACCTCCGAGTGCCCGGTATCGCCATTGCAAACGTCCTCGTACGAGGGATTGTGCACGGTGCCCTGGGAATAGCCTACCTCTGTTTTCGTCACGCCCGGGGTTCTCTGGAATGCGAGCTCCACACCCCAGAAGCATCCGGCGCCAAATTGCGCGAATTCTTGCCCGGGCGCCGGCGCGTCGTCGTCCGGCCCCTGCGCGATCTTGGCGCCTTCCGGATCGCGGACCCTGGCAGTCGCGGGCCCTACTCCCAGCTTGGACAGCCATCCCCCAAGATTTGCCATCGGCGACGCGACGCTGCGGCTCGACCTGACGGAGAATCCGAGCGCCCTGGAGTGGATCCTCGCGGATGGAGCGGCAATCGGTGGGAGAATGTGGGCGCAGCCGTGACCCAGGACGCCGAGAACGCTCGCCCCAGACATGATAAACCCTAAGAAATATCCATAAAAAGTATATTCAGTTTTTGAAAACGAATATTCACCCTGGTCGTGGCGGGAGAGAGCACCCTCCAAATACCGGAGTCTCGCTCTTCTCCACAAGCTTTTGGAAATTCGCTCTACGCTTTGCTCGTTGCGTGACAATCTCCTCGTTCGCTTTCCTGCTCTTCCTGATCTTCGAATTCTTTTTCTCGTCGATTGGAACGAGAGCATTGCTTCGCTGCTTCTTGCTCTTGGGATCTTCAAAGCTTCGCAAGCGTTCTTCGTCCTCCGGTGGAAGTTTTCCCAGGAGCTTCTTCAGCTGTCCCATGCAATCTCCAAGCCGGACTTTGGTGAGCTTTCCTCCCCCCCACATTAGAAGCTTCTTCTTCTCGGCGTTGTCTGGATTTGCGAGCCATGCCACCGCCTCGGCGCAAGCATTCCTCTCAGCTTGCCTCTTAAGCCTGTCCGGCTCGCCGATAAACTTGAGACCTCGGAACTGGATCGTGGAGACGTGCTGCTTTGCTCGGTTTAGCTTCGTGGACACGGACGGCCTTCTAGTCAGTCCTTCCCGAAGGAGAGCTACTCGGAGTGCTACTTTGGAGTCCTTGTCGCCGATGAGACCATCGAAAGTACCTACGTCTGTTCTCTTCCCATACATGAACTTGCCGGCAAGAGCGTCGCCTCTGATCATGAGCATCACTGCTCGCATGAGCAGACCATCTCGGTGTTTGTAGATGTCGAGGTCGGGCCTTGCTAGCTGCAGAGAAGAAGTTTTATAGCCGAAAGAATAAAGTTGAGACGTGGTACCTTTAGCTTCAGAAGCTCATCCAAAAGATCTCGCATTTCCTGGAATAATTCGGCCTCGCTCTCACCCATGAAGAACTCCAAGCACTTCCCACACATTTGCAAATGTCCTGGCTGTTAGCAGCAACGGGATTAGCACCAAAGGAAGACAACAAAGCGTAAAGTCGTCACCTGGCCTATCGACACCAACGCTCCCCCGAACAAAAGTAGCATCGAGTCCGATATACCCGTTGAGTCTCGAATGAACACGTTAGATGTCTTTATCTTCTCAAGGAACACCAGCCATGGAAAGCAGCTTTCCTCGTGCCTTGCATTCACTGAGTGCTGCATAAATCCGTGTATAATGTCAGCTGAAACATTGCAAAGACAAGCGAGACTTACTGGATGAACGTGCACTACAGTCCCGTCCATTGTCTTGTGGGTCACTGATCCAGGAGTTGCCTGTGAACGAACGAAGAAATCAACACAAATGGACAGTTCAAGAGCAAACATACTTACCACAACAGCTGCAACTCCCGGGAACAAACCAGCGCAAATCACAGCTCGGACAATCATTGGATCAGATGAATAAGCTTCGCAACTCGCCAAGCCGCCGTCGAGATAACCGGCTTCCTGCAATAGTGATAGGAATTGCTTTCTCATGGAAGTCATTCCTATCAACACTTGCATGGAAAGAAAGTTTGCACGGCAGAACTCCGATGCCGTATTGTGCTTCATGCACACTTCCCAGTCGTTGAATGCTCGAACAACCGCGAGGTGGTCACTCATTTCTCCTATGGAAAACTTGAACTTGGCTTGATTGGAATCCTGGCAACTCAACTTTCTTAGTAATGTGCTTTGTACTAAAATCAATCCAGCACAAACCTCTCGCTTGTCCACGGGAAGAATAAATGGATCCCGGGACGAAAGTGCAGCAGCAATAGTAAGCATGGGATCAAGGCATTGAAAAATACACCCCATGATCAACATTTTTCCAATCTGCGGTTCAACTGGAAGTATTGCTAGATGTTTTCCTGGACGAATCCAATCAATACCATAAGTCGATAAAATAAAAAAAAGACTTACCAAGAACCGTCAGATCTTCTGTTTCATCCAATGCACCAATCACCTTCAAGAACTCTATGGCGATGTGCACTGCGTGTCGGTTGGGAGGCTCTATAGCTTTTGCCAAGAACGTCTGGATATCTCCAAGTTGCAATCCCTTAATCCTGAGGCATACGTTGTGTAGAGCTGTTCTCAATATCTCAGGTTCATTGTGGTCCTCAAACGCTTGAAAAACGGATTCTGGATAGAGATGGTAACAAACACCTGGTTTCAAACGCCCAGCTCTGCCTTTCCTCTGCCACAAAAACCACACAAGTGTATGTCAAAGAAAAGATTTTTTACACTCCCTCCTATTTACCTGGCGCACAGACGACTTGGAAATCCATCTTGGCAACAAACATGCAGTGTTTGTTGCAACATCATAGCTCTTCTCTTTGGCTTTTCCTATATCGACAACGTACACAACGTCCTCAACCGTGATGCTAGTTTCGGCAATGTTTGTTGCCAGGATGATCTTCCGTACACGTGAAGGTGGACGCTCAAAAATTCTCTTCTGCAAAACTTCGAAGTGTTAAAACCAGCACGTAGTTGAGAAGATAAATAGATCACTAACCTGTTCGTCGGGCGACATGGTTCCATGGCACGCAAGAAGCCACACCCTGCTAGGATGGCCTAGCACAGGATGGGTTCTTAGCTGACGCCTCAAAGCAGAAATATCTTCCCAGCCAGTCATAAAAACCAGCACCGCACCTTCTTGGCCATGCTCGCAGACGTGACAGAGTAGCTTCTCTATCAAGGTGAAATCGATACTTTCTTCTCCAGCATTGCTGTAATCTTCAGCATTGAGAGCTTCTCTGACGATATTCTCCTCTGAAATATGGGCCCGCAGATCGGAGGCTTCAGGCGCTTGCCGTAGATACTTCCACATTCTTGACTGCATGCTCAATTTGTATCCTGTTATGTTCAAAACGTCTTCTAAATAGTAAGATTTCACAGTGTATGCAAATCCCTGAAACAGTGATACGGAAGTCAAGTAAACAAAAACAATACACTATTTACCGGTATATCCATGCAACGAGTATTCAAATCCAAGAAATACTTCTCAAAAAGCTTAGCGTCCACAGTAGCGCTCATAAGAATGAGTTTCAAATCGGGACGGCGCTGGATGACATCTCTTAAAACAATAAGAAGAAAATCTAGAAAGGACAAGGAAGTTTAGAATCTGAAAAAGAAAAACAAAGAAGGTAAAGCTAACCTTCGTTTAAACCCCGCTCATGTATCTCGTCGACAATTACGTGCGTCACTCCGTTCAAGACTGGATCAGACATCAACCGCCTTAGCAATATACCCGTGGTGCAAAACAGCAGGCTCGTAGACCGGCTTCTCACTGAGTCGAACCGCACCTGATATCCTACCTGTGGATACAGAAGTATGTGTAAGGAAAACGCTCTACAGATCTTATAAACTTACAGATTCACCAAGAACTTCACCGCGTTCTTCCGCCACTCTCAAAGCGACAGAGGAAGCTGAGATACGCCTGGGCTGGGTGCAAACAATCTTACACGACGAACCGCATCCACCATCAATCTCAGATTCAAGTATATATTGTGGAAGTTGTGTTGTTTTGCCACAGCCAGTTCCTCCAGTTACCACCAGAACCTGTCCAAGAACTAGTATGAAAAGTTTCAACAAACATTTCATGTTTTAGATCATCACTCCAGTACCTGACAACGGGACAGTGACTCGAGGAATGCAGACCTTAACTGAAACGCTGGAAGTTTACTACGAAACCCAAGAGCTATTTGTCCCTCTCGAGAGTCCTGAATATCATCAGAGTTGAGTGAAAAACAATCAAAAACTAATTTTGAGGCTGCACCTGCCATGCGCGTTGTCTATCAAACATAAGCTTGCTCTTTTTCGCATCGCCAAAAATACCAGCTAGCGGATCATAAACATCCGGAAGAGACTGAGGGGGCTGTTCTGGAGCAACGATTGGAAAGAGCTCCACCTTGGCTTCCTTCTCTTTCCTGTGCCGTTTATACTCGTCTAGAAACGCTTTAACCCTGAAAAACGTGGCTGGTGCAACATAAACCTGGAAGTGAAAGAACATAATTTCCAAAAAAGATGAAGGTGAAGATCCGAACCTGTCGTTGCGGACGATCCGGATCCAAGTCCGGTCTATACAATGGTAGAGGAAGCTTACTGACAACGATGGTTTTCCAGTAGAGATTACTGCAAAGAACAAGAAAATCCACAGAGAATTTTTTTCAAAGACCAGAGTGAAAAAGATCGATCGAAGGAAGCTTAGTTACATGTAGAGACCAAGCTCTTTGGCAATGTAGCTTATAGCATTGTAGCACTTGAGATCTTTACTTTCCATGGACATTATCTCGTTCTTGGAAGACTGAAGAAGCAAAGACATTCTTCGTCTCCATCTATCAATGTACGTGCTTGTGACCTCCTGTTAAACAGAGAACAAACGATTCCATGCTTTTCTTCTATGGAATTCTACCACGAACTGACCTTCTGCAAGTAATTGAGAAACTCGTCCTCGTCGTCGCTCTCCTCCAGCCCCATCTTGAGCTCATACAGCCGGTAGCTCTTGCGGACGCCGCGTTGCATGAGATGGGGGCGAATCCTGTTGTGATACTTGTGCCTGACAAATGCGACGCGGAACACGATCGACTGCAATGCAGGCGCCTGCCATGGCAGCTGCGATGATCCATCAATGGGAAGAAACGATCGAGAATGGAGCAGCAGACGATCAAGCGCCGCCCTCGTCCTCAACATCAGGCATTGCTCCTAGGGTTTAAGAAAAAAGAATATGCTCGAATAATCTTTGAAATTTTTTTGCCTAGCTAACTGGGTTGGGTGGCTTTCCAGGGAATTTCACAAGCTTCATACATATCCTGTAAATCAAAATGGATCGATTTTAAGAACCAGCGCTCGCGATAGCTAAAATTCTGTTACCTCAAATTTTGCCAACTCGAAACTTCGGTGTGGTGTGAGAGATGGATGATCAATCAATCAATCCCACATTAAAGCCTGGAAACGAAAAGGAAGAGAATCAGTCCTGCAACTAGAAAAAGAAGAAACAAAAGCGAAGTACCATTTCGAAAGATTGCGTGATGCCTTGCTTGCTCGCTTGATTGCTTGCAGCGGCCTCGCAAGTTTTGGCTTGTGGCTTCTGTGGAGCCACCACGAACACCGTGAGAGTTGCAGCGCACTGGCGTGACGAAGAGCTATAAACAGTGTAGCTCCTCGAGAGATTCCCTGCTCCGTCCTCAGCATTGAGCCGACGCATCGATCGAGTCTATCTTCTTCGTTGGACACCGACGGAAGCAGGGAAGGCCTGGTCGTTTAATGGCGACGAGCCTGTGTAGAACCAGCTTCAGGCTGGAAAGAATCGGCGATTGTTAGAAAACAAAGTTACTAGAACGAGCAAAGAGATTTAGACTTGCCTGAGAAACTTGCGAAGAGTAGTGATAGGCCATAGAAGGCCGAGGATATGGGTACTGCGACATATAAGTCGCCATGTTGGTGTGTGGAGACACCCGCGGTGGCGGAGGATTAAACGGTGCCGGGGCTCGCATCATATCCTGGTGTTGTTGGTATGCGTGCCTCCAGCCCGATTGACTGGTTGCTTGCGGTGGCATTTGCCTTACAGGAGGACAGCCAAGCTGGGGAAACTCTGTGTTATAATTCACAACAGGAGTATACCGAGCTTGCATACCAAAGGCTGGTGGCTGGTTTAGTCCAAAACCTGGATCAAACCGCTGTGAATACCTGCAAATGCAAAGAAAGGCATCAACGAAGGTTGCAACCTCGGCTAAGAACTTATACCTGTCATAGTTCCGATCGTAATCGGGATCTTTGCGATCTTTCTCTCGGTCACGGAATATAGCAACCTTTTGCCTCGACTTGCTGGATTGATCTTTGTCTGTTTTGCTGCCGCTGCCACCGCTGCTGCTGCTGCTGCTGCTGCAGCTATTACTGCCAGATCCGGCGTTCATCCGCTGCCTTCCCTGCTCAGGGGTTGAAGCGCTCTCTCTTACTTCTACCACCTTTGCGGTTTTCCTCTTCTCTACTTCCAGCAGCTCGTCATAAGCTCTCTGTTCCTGCTCATGCCGAAAAATCCTGGCTCGGGCCTTGTTATACTCCTCGTTCCGTTCCTCCATACTCTTGGAGGCATTGCTTCCGGATCCACTAGCAGCCCCGCTGCTATCTCCACCGGATATAAAACTAGCCTGTGGTCTCTGCTTGATCACAAACTTGGTGTTGGAGTTGCTGCCACCATCCGCGGCAACAGGAATGTCCGCGAGCCTGATCGAGGGAAACTTATTCTCCCCACTCTTCCGGACTATGATCCTGCATCCTTCCACGTTGCTGTCAATCACCGAAGTTATAAGGTAGTAGTGTTGCGCTACCCTGTGAACTGCTAGGCGCAAGTAGGACGACGCCATAGGAGGGAACTCAAGCTGAAACTGCTTTGGATTTCTTACGAATCTCTCCACGTCGTGTTCTAGCCTTAGAACTGGAAAAGAAAACACAATTATTGGTACTAGGAAAGAAGAAAATGCCAAAGACAAGGACTTACTAGTCATACGGTCGTGAGGATTCTGGAGCGCCTCACGCAAGAACTCGTCAATTTGTGCCGAATCATCGTCGCCGCCGCCACTCTCTTTGTGGAGGCCAAGACTGCAACCAGCGGGCACAAGCCGCTTCATACTCTCCTCCAGATCGGCCAGCTCCCAAGAATCCGGGCAAGCATCCTCATTCTCCTCGCTCCTGAGCTCCATTGGCGGGTTCATTCCGGCCATCACAATGGGATCCTCTTGCGGCAAGGTAGCAGCTTCATCGAGAATTCAAGCTCCCAGCCGCGGAATACAAACCCCTAGGCCGTAGCATTTCCTGGATCGCTGGAAACCGGGGCGCTAGCAAACTAGGGAAGCGAGATTCTCACCAGATCTGGCGCCGTAACGGTAGAAGCAGCGCGCACGAATGGAGAGAAGCGGCGCACCCGCACGCCATAGCCGCGACCGCACACAAACAAGCTGATCAGGTTAAATTTTTTTCCCTTACTCTTTGGTCCCATCGCCACCGTTCGCGACTGGACGGCGGGAGATCTGTCTGAGGCAGCCCCTTATCGTGACCGTCCATCTTTCACCATTCGAAATTTAGGGTTTCGCGTGGCTGTGCGCATTGCATTCATTTCCCACCAGACGAACAAGCGAAGATCTCATTTCCTTTTTTTTCGCATCGCCACTCCTTCAATTCGATCCAGTCTGATCGCTCCAGCGTTCTGTTGGTCATTGAATTCGATCGGGTAAAAGTCCGCCACGAAATCAAACGAGTAGAATGAAACAAGATGGTTTTCTCCGTTTATTCTTTTACAATCACCACACACAGCGGCTTTCCGCGATCCAGAAACATAGCGAGCAAGGGAGAAATCCTGCGAGCGCGAGCGCGCGCGGAGGGGAATCGATCGAAGCGATGCGAACTATGTATACGGATGGATGGGTGGATGGATGGAATGGGAAGAGGATTGATTTTGGGGGCGCATTTCTTCACAAATCGATCGGATGGATGGATGGATGGATGGATGGATCAGTCACGCGCGCACTCGGCAGGTCTGGAGGGGAATCTGGCCGAATCGGTGCAGTAGTCGTAGATCATGTAGTTCTTCTTGACCCATTTGAGCTTGCCTGCGTCGCTGGGGCTGAGAGCTTGCCAGGCGGACGAGTCCCACCATTTGCCGCTGTTTGGGCCGCACGATCCCGACGATGCCTGACACGCGTCAAGATCAAAGTTCTTGTAGGAGGCGATGAAGGGGGCGTGGCTCCAGTCGGTCTTGACGAGTCCACCCCTGGTCGCCCAGTCGTCGGCGTTCCACAGGCTCGAGTAGACTCCCATTGACTGCTTCGTGGGGAAAGGCAGGCCCATGTCCTGGTTGTTCTTAAACACGCGAATGGGGGTGGAATCCACGAAGAATCTGCAAAGACAAAGCCCACGATCAATCAGTCTTTCTAGCTAGCTTGCACCAAGCAAAGGAATCCCAAAAGAATCGCAAGAACATTGAGCACAAACAGTGATCCAGAGGACCCAGGAAAGAATAGGAAACAGTGGGTCGATCGAACAAGAAATTTGCGGTGATGGGCGATACCACATTGCTCGATCGATCCAAAGAACTCGCCAGGAAAACAGAGCACGGAGAGATGGGGGGATCGAAAGGGAGAGAATCGGAGGAAATGGGCGAGATGGGTGTGATCACGTACACGATCTGCTTCTGGTTCCAGAGGATCGAGTACGAGTGGAAGTCGGCAGTGGGATCAAACCAGAGGTAGACTCGCTGCTCGCGGTTGCCGACGCCATTGGCGTAGACGTTGGTCTGGAGGATGTATGGATTGCCCGACGTGTTGCCCAGAAACTCGAGATCGATCTCGTCGCGGGTCCTGTAATCGTCCGAGGACATCTGTCACAAGCAACTCCACGGTCAGAAATGCGGAAGAAATGGCGCTGGATAGGCGCGAGTTTGGGAGATTTACGTAGTAGGCTGCCACAGTTCCAGCAGAATCACCGGGAACAAGCTTGATTTGCATGCTCACTCTGCCGAAGAGATACTTGTTCTTGGACGCGAAGCCAGCAGCTGTGGAAGAGAAGGAATCGAACACCCAAAGCCCGAGAGAGCGTGAGCATTGCAATGCGATCGATCCAAGCAAAAGAATCAACCTGATTGATGATCCAAGACGAGACGAACTTGGCCAGAGCCATCCACTTTGACGTGATCGTTGTTGGAGGTGAAGAGATCGTTGAAGTTTCCAGGGGCAGCCTGGGAGACGATCACCATGGTGGCGATCAACACGCAGAGGGCCAGCCTCCCCATTGCCGCGAATGCGAATCTCAAAAGAGCCACACACAAGATATTCCCTTTGGAATTCCCAAGAGCGCCTTCTTCTTCCTCGCTGTTGCGTTCTTCGATCGATGTTCCAGCTCCACGGCCCGGCCACGCTTATAAACGCTGGCCATGCTGGCGCCACGTCACCATGGCAATGATGACATGTAGTATGGGTTCGTAAAGGTAAATTAGTTCAAATTTTCTTACCCCTTGCCCAGGAATTTATTCCCACAGGATGGCATGAGCTGGAAAAATAAAAACAAGACAATCGCCACGCCGGGATTCGTCCAGCGTGTTACGTACGAGCGTACGGCCCGTGCTTAACGTAAGCCCAGGGTCTTTGTTTAGGCAGCTTCTTTGCTGCCAGCTGCGCGGTCAAGATATTCTCCAGCGCTTTTAAGCAGGTGGAGAAAACCCGATTACTTTAATCCCAAAGTATTATTACTTTAATCGGGGCCCGGGGGCCTGCCTGCCGACGACGTAACACACTGGAAATGTTAACAATAGTGCCTGGATTCGAGCCTGCCACTGGTGCCTGCAGGGCCAAAAAAATTCCCCTTAAATATTCCAGGAATTTCCAAATCTTACCGCTGGACTGGCGGCTTGGCTGCCGCTGAGCTGCCACCTTTCTTTCGTAAGCAGTGCAATGATTGGTGACAAACCTTGACTAGCATAGTTTTTACGTGTGCATCTAGTTTAGAGGAGAAATAAAACTATATTTGGTTTTGGAGGCCATGGTTCTTGATGATTCAAATTCGAGATTTAAATCTCGCAGGGAAGCTTCCTGGTAACTTGTCATGCTCTGGCACACATATCATGGTGACTTGCCATGCTCTGGCACAGATATCACATTCAGGCACATATACACATACGGCATGGTGTGTGTGTGTTGAGCCTGCAAAACGCAGTAAAAAAATAAAGTAAAGTGAGTTTGTTCACTGCAAAAGCAAGCCTGTTTGTTGTCACGGACGCTTTCACCACGGCTGGAAATGGGCTGGAGGGGTGTGTGGTAAAAAAAGCGGAGATTTTAATCCCAGAGGGTGAATTTTCAAACACAGGCTGGCTAGCTGTGCTGTCGGGTGATCTGATCTCCTCGGAAGGTTCATCGCATTCAAAGACCGGATATTCGGAGAGCTTAGGTCAGAAAAAAACTTTCCCTGGGACCAACAAACGCGGTCGTCACCTTTCCAAAAAGGTGTCCCCAACCTTATAAATTCTTTTCGCGTCCTATCTACTTACATTGTTGTTGTTGGTGTGCTGGATTCAGCTCATTCTGTCAAGAAAGGGACACTCCACTGCACTGTTCATGTGAGATGTTCTCTCTCTTTCTCTTCTATTTCATAAATCAATCAATCAATCCGTCCCACAACTTGTCTTTGGCAAGGCACAGATCGATCTTCATTCCCAACCATGCGAAAATTTCTCCCCAGCTATAACGCTAGAGACGACTGGGAAAGGGACCGGACTTCAGAGCTTGATTAAAATTTCTTGTCATTGTTTGATAGATCCCTTACGATTATTGGTTCCACCCAAATCCAGCCTGGTTCCCATATCCTCACTCACGGGGGATCTTGACCAGCAAAACCAACCTAGAAACTTTATAGTGATTGGCAAACAAAGTCTAGTATTTATTGTTTGTTGTACAAAAATTACTATAATTTAAATAATACATTTTAAACTTGATAATATTAGTATACAGTAAGGTTTAAGTGTATGGTTACGATACTATATACTAATATTAACATAGTGGGATTTGATAATTGTCAGATTAATTTCAATTCAGACCACTTGCTCCTATATATTAATTAAGGTTTTTGGGCTAATTAATATACATATTTCTATATTCTATATTCCTCATATTAGTGAAGATGAGAGGTAGCTTTAATTGTCTCTAAGGATTTATTTTAGATCTAGCTATAAGCAACCAAAGAAAATGACTTGAAAAACAACCTATAAAGTTCAAATATAAAGGGAAAGGGCCATGAATAAATATGCACCCCTTTTTCCAATCAATTAAGGGTCTTTGGGTTTGAATAATACTAGGCTAGATAACCTCCCGGGAAGTTTAAATTCAAGAGTTTACATTTGGTATTAAAGAGGTTTTGGGTCTAGCTTTTTTAGTTGGCTTAAGGAAATTATAAGATTAACATCTAGTAGAAGAGGGTCTCAAGTCCGACTCTATTAGTTGGGTTAAGAGAATTACACCATATGTTGAGATTGACATTTAACAAATCTAGTTTACTTTCGGCTAAGCTCAACTCGAAAGGTAAGGTGTCAAGAGAGCAAGGCTTTTGGGAAAGCTATATGTGAGACACAAAATCCCTATTCCCCAAAGTGGAGCCGGAAGGGTGCCATGTGGTAGTGGCCGAAACAAAAGCCAAACAAACGTAACACGTTTGGACCAAAAGCTCCGACTAAAAAGGTCGAGAGCGGGAGTGGAACTCCCAACAAAGTGCTCAAGGAACGAGCCCAAAGCGAGCAATAAGCGAGGCTCTAAAAACAAACCCAAAAGGACCAACACAGGACACATGGAAGTGTCCAAGATGGAGTCCGAGATGGACCTGAGTTGGAGTCTGAGATGGACCCGAGTTGGAGTCCGAGATGGACCTGAGATGGAGTCCGAGATGGACCCAAGATGGAGTTTGAGATGGAGTTCGAGATGGAGTCCAAGATAGACTGAGACGGAGTCCGAGATGGAGTTTGAGATGGAGTTCGAGATGGAGTTTGAGATGGAGTTCGAGATGGAGTCTGAGATAGACCTGAGATGGACTTGAGATGGAGTCTGAGATGGAGTCCGAGATGGAGTCTGAGACGGACCTGAGATGGAGTCCGAGAGAATCCGAGATGGAGTCCGAGATGGACCTGAGATGGAGTCTGAGAAGGACCCGAGATGGAGTCCGAGACTGGGACCGAGACCGAGATCGAGACCGGGACCGGGACCGAGACCAAGGCCGAGGCCGAGTCTGAGTCCGAGTTCGAGTCCAAGTCTGAGAGGGTGAAAGCCCAAAGCATTCGTCTCCCAGACCTAGGGGGTTTGGTGAGCTCCAAAAGTATAGTAGGGGGAGGATTGCAATGGAGCCAGTTTGGCCAAGAAAGGCTAGTTTGGCCTAAGAAGGTTGTATGCAGTGTTGGGTGATAAGCTATCCACTGGGAAGTCTAAGACTAGAGTGAACACAGACCAACAAATGGGGTAGCTTGGTGAAGTGTTCAAGAGCCGGCTCTAGTTCCCCCGGGAGATCGACTGGCCAATGCTCCCAGTCCAAGTGTGGGTGGCACTACCTACTTGGATACCTGGTGTGGCTTAACGGAACCTCACTCTAAGCCCATAGCTAGAGCACCCAAAGGTAGAAGGTGGGGAGAATATCTATGAAGCTCACGTAAGGCCACAGTGTTCCGAAATGTTGTCCTAAAGTCCCAGACGATGAAAAGGAAGAGGAGCAATCCTTTAGTGCAGTGACCAAGGACACGGTCACATGGTGAGGAAGTCCCAAAGGATAGTGGACTTAGAGGTTGGGCCTACGGGCCTCGATTTAGTGGCAGTGTTGGCGAACCTGGCCATGAACAGAAAGGGACTTGGTGGGGACTGGAAAAGAGATGTTGGGGAAGGCTATTCCCCATGTCTGTGGGCATATTAAGGATGTTAAGGAGTGGATCTAGGATGATCATACAGAAACAGATGGCCTAGTTTTTGAGAGATAGGACTGCGATGCAGGTGGTGTCGGACCACCAGTGTGACCAAGGTAAATGGGCATGGCCTTAGCATAACGGGATGAGAGGTCAGTGGAAACTTGGGATGTCGATCATGGGGTCGGACACGTGGAGCACTTGGACCAAGTGCAAAGGTTAAGTGGTATGGATGCCATTCTAGGGGTGAGCAAGTCCCAAGCCCTGAATTGAACTTATGGAGGTTGTGAATGAGACTCCTCCAAGTGGTCAGAGGTATGGTTAAGTGACTAAAGTAGAATGGAAAAATTTAGTCATTTACACTATGGCTCTTAACTTCTGTTTATGAAGGAATGAATTTGAAAAAAAATATAATGGATTGTAAACAATCAAAGAGAACAACTTAAAAGATGATTTATGGGGTTTAAATATATAAAAAAAAGGGCTCATATGGTTTTCACCTTTTATTTTATAACTATAAAGTAAAACCTAAACCCTCTATGTGCCATATGCCACATATCACATGCCACATATCCCTAAAGACAATGGAGTGGAACTCAAGTTTTAGGGTTTTGGGCCACTAAATAAAGGAACTGTAAGGAATTAACTCCCCGATGTGTTATAGGCTAAAAGATTCCCGAAAGCACAACCGAAATAATAAAAAGTTCATTGAATGAGATTGAGTCTGAGATCGAGTCCGAGACTGGCTCTAAAACTGAGTTCAAGACTGAGTCCGAGATTGAGTCCGAGACTGACTTCGAGACCAAGTTTGAGACTGAGTCCGAGACCGAGTTCGAGATCGAGTTTGAGATCCGAGATTGGGTTTGAGACTGAGTTCAAAACCGAGTCTGAGACCGAGTTTGAGGTTGGGTCTAAGATTGAGTCTGAGACAAAGTCCAAGGTCAAGTTAGAAATCGAATTTGAGATTGAGTTCGAGACCAAATCTGAATACTAATACAAGTTATGGGGTGAAAGCCCAAAGCATATGTCTCCCGGGGGGGGCATTGCAGAGGGTTCCAAAAGTATAATAGGGATAGTAGGAATCAGTCTTGAATGAACTTTTTAGTGGTGTTTCCAAACTAACTTGAGGTTGAGGTTAGAGCTTAGAGGCCTTGGGTGGAAGTGAGTATATACTCAGGAGGTGCCAGAGGGGCCATCCAAGGAAGTATTCAAAAGTAGCTCCCACTCTTGGAAAGGAAACTAATTACGGTGCTCTCAGCTCATATGGAGTGATACCCCACTTAAGTACCTTATAACTCATTAGTCCTCACCCCTCTTAGAGGCTTGGGCCTTTCCTTTGGGATGAAAGTGGGCAAGTAGGGGTATTCATACTAGGTTGTTAAACTATTGTGTTTCCCTCTAGTGTCCTAAAGCAAGTGTTGCACCGAAGGCTTAGGATTTAGAGGGTCCTATGATCAAGTTTTGTTGTACCAAAGGATGTT